CACGGAAAGGTATTATGCTGCATAAGTCAACTCTGTCTGCCTACATTAATAGATATTTAATAGATAGCAATGGTGTCTGCACTTAACAGGAACCTTCTCCATATATTCTGCTCATTGAGTTTAGCACAAAAGGAAAAAGGTGAGAGGCACAGGTTATAACAACTGCCCTCGAAGAACTTCAAATATACCTGTGGAGACATGACAGCACAAGACAACTCAAGAAGGCAATATAAGTTATAGGCATTGGCTATAATTACTGCACAAGGTAGAAGAACAATAAAATCAACGGAGTCCAAAGTACCTGGAGATCACTTTCTGGAGAAGTTGTCATTAAAGCTTTGACAGGGCAGTAAATTTGGAAGGTGCTGAAAAGTAAGAATTGAACCACAAGCAGAAGGAACAGACATGAAGAATGGAACTGGGTGAGAACAATGTGGCAGCCATTAGACACTCTGCTTGACTGAGTAACAGAGATTATATTGAAGAACAGTGTAAAATTCATGGAATGTTTAGGAAACCTTTAAAAAATAATATATCCAGAAGACACATTGTATAAATTTTTAGCTATTTCCACCTTGAGTTTCTTAAAACATAAATTGTGAAAAACTAATATCATGGGATGTAAAATTGGAAAACTTTGACCCCTTAAAGCAATAGTTATCAGATACTAATGTGATTTATGAACCAGATCACCTCGTAGAAATTCCCTAGTGGGAATGTAAGAACTGCACAGATATCTCCTACATTTCTAATCCAAAAGGGTCGGGAGACCTGGAGATTGGGGGAAGATTTTATGGAGTGAGCCGAGGGTGTACTAGAAATATACATAAGGAGAGACGGTATAGGGTGTTTTCCCCCTCGGAACCAGAAAGAGCTACTTCAAGGAGACTCTCTAGAGAGTCTAAAAGTTATCTCTTGAAGTTTTGAGGTTTTAGTGGAGACAGTGGACTGATTTCTGATGAATTCAAAGACCAAAGATGAGGCGGTGAGCAGCTTATGGTAGAGCAAAGTAAAGATTCTGAATGGGGATTCATCTATTTTTCAGGGTCATTAGTTTCCTCTGGAAGAGAGGTGGGCCACGAATATGAAAGAGCTGTCATGAGGTTGTCCTAGGTATTTCCTTACAGCTTCCCAGCAACTGAACTGGTCTCAGCTGACTAGTGGCTGTGGATGGAGTAAGTAACAAAGTGAGACAGTACGACCCACATCAGGCAGAGTACAGGTGAAGGGTTTCCAGTGATTGGAGGGGAGTATTACTGAAGAACCAGGAAAAGCTCCAACGGGGAGAGAACCAACTTTGTGCCTGCCCCAAAGAGTGAGCCTTCTTGCTTAGTGAGCAGAAAGTAAGCGCTTTGCTTCTTCATTTACCTCTTGTTACCTCACCTTTCCTTTTTCACTCCATTTCCACATTACAGAGGCATCAGGATCCAAGGTTCACTAGCTGGAAAAGAAGGACATGGTGGAAAAATAGGGACCAACAAATTCCTTTCCATTGGCTATTGGCTGCCATTTGCAGCAGATTCTAGCTACAGAAGACTGTTAAAACTGTAAGCCAGTTTGTCACGTGCAGCTGGGTGTTCTGATTTCTAAATTGAGAATATGTTTGATGCGCTAGCAGGGGTCCCCAACCCCCAAGCCGTGGACAGGTAACTGTCTGTGTCCTGTTAGGAACCGGGCCACACAGTGGGAGATGAGTGGTGGACAAGCAAGCATTCCTGCCTGAGCTCCACCTCTAGTCACATCAACTGTGGCATTAGATTCTCATAGAAGCATGAACCCTCTTGTGAGCTGCACATGCAAGGGATCTAGGTTGTGTGCTCCTTATGAGAATCTAATACTTGATGACCTGAGGAAGAATGGTTTCATCTGGAAACCATTCCACCTCCCCCATCTTTAGAAGAAATTGTCCTGGTGCCAAAAAATTTGAAGACTACCAATTAAAGTAACCATAAGATTTTTTTTTTTAATAAGTTCTAAGTGATCAGGGTCTAGGTAGAAGCCTGATTCTGGTTGGCCGAAGACATGTGTTATTAGTTTCTTTGGCTGCCATAAAACATTACCACTAATTGAGCAGTTTAGAACAAGAGAAATTTAGTGTCACTTTTCTGTAGGCTAGAAATCTAAAATAAAGGTGTCGGCAGCGCTCTGCTGTCTCCAGGGGCTCCGGAGGAGAATCTGTTTGATGCCTTTCTCTTAGTTTCTGATGTTGCTGGCAGTGCTTGGCATTCCTTCGCTTGTAGATTTATCACTCCGATCTCTGCGTGTCTTGTCATATGGCTCTCTGTCTGTGTGTGTCTTTGTGTTCACATGGCATTCTCTTCTCCATGTATGTCCATCCCTGTGTCTCATCTCTTCTTATAAGGTTACCAGTCATACTAGATTCAGGGCCACCTTATTCTAGCATAACTTCATCTTAAATTACATCTTAATTGCGTCTGCAAAGATTCTTTCTGAGTAAGATCATATTTAGGGTAGGACTTCAACATATCTTTCGGGAGTACATAATTTAACCCACAACAGATGTTATGCAGATTTTGGTGTACTTGATGCCTGTACCTGGAGTTAGGGATTGTTGTTGGTACGAATCAAAGTCCCTTCCTAATTTCTTTATTTAGAAGACATGTGTGCTGTACTCTTTCAAAATATACAGTGTGAGGTTCTGAGTCTGAAACAGTGTTTCTTAGTTAAGCCCAATCGGGGCTCAGCTATTAGAAATGCCGCTTTATATTTTGTCCATTTTCCTCCCAGTGCTGTTACTAATGTTTCTCTTCTTTGCCATCCTCTGAGCATTTTAACAAGAAATTGAGAAGACTCCTGATGGACACTCTGAGTGGACCTTACGTTAATCTGGACTTCATTTTTTTTTATGCTTCCAGTTTTTGAATACATTGCCCCATCTTCCTGGAAAGACATACCTGCTTACCTGTCTGTTAGGCCTTAGTACTTCAGAGTTCTCTTTTGTGACATTTTCTTAGACCAAATAGTGCTGATTGTCAGCCATGTGTACCAGTTCAGCTATTCTGACTGATTTTTGTGGGGGTGGGGGACAGGGACTCTTTCTGTCGCCTGGGCTGGAGTGCAGTGCTGCAATCTCGGTTCACTGTAGCCTCTGTCTCCTGGTCTCAAGTAATCCTCCCATCTCAGCTTTTCGAATAGCTAGGACTACAGGTATGCGCCACCAAACCTGACTAATTTTTGTTTTTGTAGAGACAAGGCCTTGCCATGTTGCCCAGGCTGGTCTTGAACTCCTGGGCTCGAGCAATCCTCCTACCTTGGCCTTCCAAAGTGCTGGGATTACAGGGGTGAGCCACTGCGCCCGGTTCTGACTTATTTTTTAAGATTATATTTTAAATCCTTTTCTGACTCCAGAATATTCTTTTAATACTTCCTGCCCCTTCAAACTCTGTGTATTGTCTAATGGTGATATTTTCACCAATTACTTGAAATAATTGTCCACAGATGTGTTTCCTCCACTAAACTGTGCTTCTCTTAAGTCTCTTTTTGTTTGCTGTGGTTTCTTCAGTCTGTCACAGACATTGGCTTGCAGTAGGGGCTCACCAGGTGTTTTCTGAATTGGATTGAGTGTTCATAAGAATAGATAAGGGCCAGTTGCTTCAAGTGAGTCTTGAAGTATATCACAATTTCTTGAAGGCCTTCTTCAAGCTAAAGTTCTCAGCAAAATCAAGGGGAACCACTGCAGTCGAGCAGCTGACAGCTTACTAATCTTCTTGAAATACTGCTATTCAGTCTTTTTCACCCACCTGCCTGAAAGACCCAGAAGGACTCTTTCTTCCTTCATCATCACAGAGTCTAATTAATAAATCGACAAAATAGGTAATGTCCAGTATGATATGATTCAATCATTTTATTGTGTGGGGCAGTGATTCTCAATGGAATAGTAAGCTTTCTTTGTTGTTGTTATTTAAAGAACAGTAATAATAATAGGAATAATGATGATATTATATTAGCTAATGCTTAGCTTGGTACTGTGCTATGTTCTTTACATGTTTTTATCTCAATTATCAACTCCATGGGGGTTAGGAAAAAATATCATTCCTGTATTACAGATGAAAAATGAAGACTTACAGAATTTATTTGTCCAAAATCACACAATTGGTAAGATGAAGTGATTGCAGTTATATCACTATTCTTATGACTGCTTTAGTCAATTAATCAATGTTGTTTTAAACTGTTAGCATCTTCTCTTTAGCCAAATAACTTTCTTAAGGGGTGAATTTAAAATTCTTACCTATCTATGTGACAGTCCTTTCTGGAAAGCTATTGCTCAGGCTTGAATTTTGTATCCTCCAATGTGAACATTTAGATAATGATACAGTAAAATCTTTTATGGGATACTCCTCAAGATTGTTACACGTTAAGGGAGGGAATAAGATATATTTTCATAACTTTTGACTTCGATAAAGTACTTTCCTCCTCATTGCAGCATAGAAAAGCTCTGAAATTACATCTCATAAGGAAGGAAATCTGTAATTATTTACAGTTATCCCACAATATCTCATTTTATTACTTTGTGGAAAGACCAAAACTTCCATGAATATTTTAAAACCCATGCTCACTAGTGGTGGAAAGAAAGTCAGTTTAGATAATTGTAAATTCCATTTCAGTCCGTTGTGTTCCAAGTAAATGTTCTGTCCTGACACAGCTTACATCTTGTCTTTTGAAATGATCGAAGCTAGTGCCTTTTCTTGCTCGAGTGCCAGTCTTGTTCACATGTGAGAGAAGAAAGATAAGCAAAGAAAACAGGGCTGAGTATCTGCTGCAGTCACCCATGTTCTCAGCTGCAAGGGAGAAAGGACATTTGGGGAATTAATTTGGCATTTAAAGCAAGTGTTTCCTGAGGCAGCTGCTGAATGGAGCTGAATATTTTGTTAAATTATTTTCTTCTCTGACCTTTATTACTAATGAATCTTCTTTAGGAAGCATTTAAAGAGGAAAAAAGAAAGGTTGTTTTTATTAATCTTCTTTCTCTTTTCCCATAGAACACAAAGAAATGGTGTTACCTGGCAAGAGATCTTCTGTCTTTTATGAAAAATTAGACAAAGGTAATGCTTATTTTGAATTGATATTTTTTTTCAGTCTGTATAACTCTGATACATGAAACTAGTTGGCTATCCTTGATTACTGGTTTTAGATATTGAATTATCCATCAAAAAAGTAAATTATTATCTGAAAAGCCAAGGAAGGCCTTACGATGATCATGAGATTGATAAAGTGAACAGTACATTTTTAGATATATAATAGCTTTTCAAAATATTGTGGGTAATGGCTAATTTTCTGATACCATTTTGAAGTTTATGTTAATATATAAATAGGATCTTGACTATAAGATTGCAATCTCTTTGGAAATAACTCCAATTGGTTTATCATATTTACAAATGATAGGTGATAACAGCATTAGACCCTTGTTAGGGTACAATGATAAGATTCTTTGTGCCTTTATTTGGCATTAGATGACTTTATGTATTTTTTTGAATATACAAAAAAATTTCAATATGAATTTCTAGAAAATGTCATCAAACTTTATGAAGACATCCTCATACAAAATACATATTTTCTTTGGAAAGATTGAATTATATCATACAGTTGTTGAATAGCATGCCTGATTATGCTTAACAGATTGCATATTTAGTTGCTAAATTTTCAAATCGCTATGTGATTTATTTACATATGTTGTTCTAAGAATATGAAAACTCCTGCAAATATTCTAATGACATACGCATGTATACAAAGTATGAGTATAGTGGCAGATAAACAATGTGTGTATGTTTTATGAATAAAACTCCTATCTCAAAAGAGATTTTTACAGAAAAGTTTCAGACAGTTTAGAATTTTGAAGGGAACTGAGACATCCATTTAGTCCTGTCTACTTATATAGCTATGAAGATGTGATGACACTGTATGTTCATGAACATATATATTAATGAAATGTATTATATATTTTTATATTAACTAGAATTGACTGGGTTTTATTTTGGACAAATTTCTGAATTTCTAAAAGCAAATGAGTACTGAAATAAAGGTAGGATTTAAATTTAATGGACATCAGCAGAAAACTTGTTTCTGAACTTTGATTTGCAGTGGAGCAAAAATAAATTGTTAAATTTGAATTACAAATGTGATATATTTCTACATATTTCTGGCTTCTAGTTAATTCTTCAAAACAGGTGTAAACTCCTTGAGAAAATAGCTTCTTTTCCTAAGGGTAGTCACCCTATCCAAGTTTTACCTATACTGAAATGTTAATTCAAATTAAAATATTCTTAAATGGTTAATGAAGTTAATTGAGGGTTGTCTTTTACATAGAACTATTCACTTTGACTCTGCAAATAGGGATATTAGAAAGAAAACAAATACAATATGTAGAAGAGGTTGAAGCTGAGCTGTGTGATGTAGGCACATGGAGATAAATGATAGAAAAGTGCTTGTTGAAGGGGACTCAATGGAAGATGGCACAGTAAAGAGAGAAAGAAAAAGATCCTAAATGACATGAAGCTAATTGGAAAGGTCAGGGATACATGTGCTTTAGAATATAAATAAGGCATGCAGGGAGCACAGACTCTCCAGGTTGCATTTATGTGAGTTTTTCTTTTCTCAGAGGTATGTATATACTAATATACTCGTTTTTAGGCTTTTATTTTGTTTATTTAAGCTGTGTATAACCTTAGTTTGAAGTGAATGTAACGAAGGAAGGCTTGGGGTGAGGGAAAGTAATTCCCATTCGCGGGATAGAATTTTCAGCATCAGTGTACCCAGAATAACAAAATTCGTTATTTGTTTGTTTGTTTTTTTTTCGTTTTGAAAATAAAGAAATCATTCTGTGTATTGCCAAAATCCAAGAGCTTTGGCATGATACAACTCCCAAGGTGATTAAGATCCAAGATATGTATGTTGTTGTGGAGGGTGGAAGTGAGATATGGAGGAGTAGTTGGGGATGGGAGAACTATGGCCAGGAGAAATGACGTTCATGTCATTATCTTTCTGGGCTGGTCCTACAGATTTGTTGAACTGGGGATGTTTGCAATCTTGTAAAATTCCTATTAATAAGACAATACACGCTAACATATTAACATTCTGCCTATTATCTCAGATGGAATATGTGCATTTAAATATCAATGTTTAAATAGTGAAAAATTTAAGACATACTAGTGAAGGTGTTATTTTTAAACAAATGGAACCATTCAGCTTTTCTTAGTTATACATGATGACTAACACATTCATTTTGTGTAGGATTAATTCTGGCAATGGGCTCAGCATGCAATCTGTTGGATTAACGGACACTTTTATGTGTGCAGATACCTGTGAGTTCTACATTTGACTCTTTTCAAAAGGGCATTTAAACAACTTTTCATGAAGTGTTTTAATGTGAAGTTATTGGTTATAAGTTATAGTTACAATATTCTTAATTTTATCATCCAAAGACAGAGGCAACATCAATGAGGTTAAAATATCTTTCAATATACTTGGTAGGTATACCGTGGTTGGATTACGTGTAAAAATAGAGACTGTGATTCTGTTCAATTTTTACGTAGGTTTACATGTCCTGGAAATAGATCAAATTTCAATTAAGGAAATTTCATGACTGTAATTATATTTTTATTATACAGGAATATTAAATTTTATTCTCACATATATTGAATTTTTTCTGAAGGAGATTGAAACAGCATATTAAGAATTCAGCAATTCTTTTAGGTACTATAGGTTTACTATATTTAGGCTTACTATAAATACAATTTTGAAAATTGAAAAGAAACTGGGTTATAAGGCTACTGTATGGGGTTACTTATGTTCAAGGACAGTAAGAAATAAGTTGTAAATACATTGTTTACAGATTGATTTTATTTTGGTTTATTATTTGATGTGGAAAATGATATAGACATGATACATGTTGAGATTTAAAAGGATATGTGATATTTTAAGACTTTATTACAGATTATATTTTCTATTATTTATCGCATACCTACTATAATAATAACAAATGAAAGTACTGCATTGTAACTTGCAGGTTGATTAATAAGCTAATGACCATGCATTTAAATGGGAGTTAGAAATAGTTTAGGATTAGTGATAAAAAATACATGTAAATCTCAGAATGCTGAAATTAGGTTCTATGTCCGATATATACTATACAATGCTTTACAAAAACGTAGTTATAACATTGCGTACAGTATGCGCTCAATGAGTATTGAAACTGCAATCAGAGAATAAATCATTGAACATTCTTATGGAGAAATGATTAAAAAGTAATTATTAAAGAAAAATTTCATGAAAAGCTATTATGGTAGTTTTTAAGAATTTGGCTTTTGTTGTTTTTATGATTTTTTTCATTTGCAAAAAGTTCTTGGTCTTCTTAACTCTTCTGGGTATTAGTTTCTGTGCAATATTTTATCTTTTTGAAACTCTCAGAACTATAAACCATAGCATTGTCTAGAATCAGCTCCTGCTACTATTCAAGTTCTTCCATAAATTCCTCAGCTATGTTTCTTACCCTATTTATGTCTCTCTTAACACCACATACTCCAAACATTCTTGTCTTTGCTTAGGTTTAAAGCTCTACTTTGAACGTCTAGTCTGCTTTCTTCTTTATTCCAAAAACTATATAATTTAAAAACTTTTCTTTAAGATGCTTTCTGAGACCTTCGTTATATTACAACTATCTTTCTCCCTTAGCCAGCCTACACTGCATTCACTCACACTTAGTTGTGGTATCTGTCATACTGTCATTGATTTGCATGTTTTGGCATATTCTTGTGTGTATGTGTGTGTGTGTGTGTGTGTGTGTATACAATTTGATATCATCATATATAAAGGTGCACACACAGACATGGATTTTTTTTCTTCAATATAATTGTAAAAAAGATCTTTCTGCCTACCACGTTTACTTTTCCTTATGAGTAAAGCAGACAAATTTTGAGTGAATGAGCTCCTTGAATCTCCAGGATTTCCACTGAAGGTATATTTAAATGACTAAAAGATCTCTTTGTAATAAGAAAGTTATAATTTTGCTATGTTTTGTATTAATTAGGACTACCTGGAGAACCTACTCAGCTTTTATGACTTTTTTTTTTGAGTCAGAGTCTCTCTCTGTCTCAGGCTGGAGTGTAGCGGTGTGATCTTGGCTCACTGAAACCCCTGCCTCCTGGGTTCAAGAGATTCTCCTGCCTCAGCCTCCTGAGTAGCTGGGACTACAGGCGTGTGTTACCACGCCCGGCTAATTTTTGTATTTTTAGTAGAGACGGGGTTTCACCGTGTTAGCCAGGATGGTCTCGATCTCCTGACCTCGTGATCTGCCCACCTCGGCCTCCCAAAGTGCTGGGATTACAGGCACGAGCCACAGTGCCCGGTCTTATGACATCTTTTTAATAAGAATAAAATCTAAGTTCAAATCAACTAATTTATAACACCACTGTAGGAACACATTCTCTTCACCAAAGGGAGATGGCCTAATTCTATCACTTACTGGCTTTGTGCTACTCTATACATCATTGCAGAAAAATCTAACCTGCCCTACCCAACAAAGGCATTTTTGTTCAAGAGCATATACTCTGCTCTATAGTGGAGTCTCTCTAGGCTAAGATCCTAAAAGTACTTAAATGCCAGGTATGGAAATGGAGTAGGGTCATGGTTATTTGGAAAGCTGAAAAGAAATTAGGCCTATTGGGGTTAGGGAGAAGCCTTTGGGGCTCTCAGAGAATTGGCAATTCCCAGTAAAGGACTAAAGTCTTTGAAGAAATTGGTTCCTTTAAGGCTTTAGTAGATCTGCTCATTTTTATTTCTGGTTTTACAGCACTAAGATTACCTTGGAAGGAGAATCACATCATTGAAGGCAAAGTGATCTGGGCTACAAATAATTGGTAGCATGTCCACTAGATTTTGCAAGTACACACATGAATATAAATGTATGTTTGTTCTTCTCTCTCTCTCTCTCTCTCTATATATATATATATATATGATGCTGAAAATCAAACACACACACACACACACACACACACACACGAGATGCACTCCAGCCTGGGTGACAAAGTAAGACCTTGTCTCAAAAAAT